ATTTCGTCTGAATTTTTCTTAAATGCAAGAGAAAGTCTCAGTTTTGCTCTGTTACAATTATTTTTTCCAACAACTTTCCACGTTCTTTTAAATAATTCTAAAAACTGTTGGCATGTGATTTAATAATGGAGCAATTAAAGTATGATTATGGGCTACGGCTGTGGCGAAGCGATAGGAGGGAAAAAAAATGCGAAGATTTACGAGAATCTCATCGCTGTCAGCGGAGCATCGCGAAAATTAGTCTGAACTCTACCGCGGTTACGAGAGGTCGAACCGATTAATACGACTACGTAAAACGAGACACAAATTACATGTCAAGTGCTTCATTGTTAGAGTAACAGAATTTTGCACGCTGATGCAATCAGCCTATTTAGAGATTTCTACCATTTCCTGATTACGCGTAATTTGTACTTGTCGATTTATCAATCTCTTAAACAAGAAAAAGAACGATAATTTATCCGAGCGATGTTGATGTCGATACCGTAACTCTTGCGTATCAATCGGATTCCTTATTGTCTCGTATGCGATCTATCATTCGTACGTCTCTCTTAATTCTCTAATGCCTATTCTCATACTCTGCATATGCAAATCGTTTTTTATTACCGATCATCAGAGGCAGCTATCGACTGGTACAACGGCGCTGAGTTCATACACTCCTATTCATAAACAACTGGATAGTCCTTGGAACAAAATTATTGATATATATCCTACTTAGCAGAGAATTGCTGTATTAGAAAATCTTGAATAAGTCAATTTCACGTCAAATTAAAAGAACAGATTCATTTTACATGGAATTTGTACAAAATAATTAAGAGCTTATCTTAAGTTAAATTTCACTTATATAGAAATGCTGTTTTTTCATGTTATCCTTTTTTATTGTTTACCCAGTAATTTCTGAACGAGAATGTACATTCGTAATCGTTGTCGACGGACAAGCAAAAAGAAAACGATCATAATAGCAATCGTTGTGATTAATTCAACCTCAATGATTGGTACATGAAAATGCTTGGTTCGAACGATCATTAATCAGAACCCACGTGGCGAACGATTATTTCTATTTGCACATCTCTATACTGGGAATGTCTATGCAAATTCCTATTTTTATAAATAAAATTAAAAAAAAAACGAAATGCACACAGACAATTGTTTCCTCCTCTAATCATTATAAATTGTATTTTAAATGTTTTGTATTTCTTTACATATCACTGCATATTTTCTGCGTTCTCTTAGATTATTTAAAATTCCTGTAAACGTATAAACACCTGCAAGACCACTCATCACCTTAATGATCTTTTATTTACAAGCATTCAATCTACGATTCTACGCTTCTTCCTCTTTGTTAAATATATTCGTGACGCGTCGCAGGCAAAGTGTATCTTTGAATAAAACGAGAAAATTCGTAATTAGAGCTGATGGAACTAATTGCCTCGCGTTCCTCCTGTATCCGCGATCATGTCTCGTTGAAAACGATCCCACCATACTGTACAGTACATTTCGTCTGAATTTTTCTTAAATGCAAGAGAAAGTCTCAGTTTTGCTCTGTTACAATTATTTTTTCCAACAACTTTCCACGTTCTTTTAAATAATTCTAAAAACTGTTGGCATGTGATTTAATAATGGAGCAATTAAAGTATGATTATGGGCTACGGCTGTGGCGAAGCGATAGGAGGGAAAAAAAATGCGAAGATTTACGAGAATCTCATCGCTGTCAGCGGAGCTTGCGCCGAAGGACGATTGGGAATAATACTGTCCGAGGCCAGCTCGAATCCCTCGAGAGGTACACCCGGTGGAATTCGCGCGTACTTGACATTAAACCGGAAGACAGAGAGGAGAAGCTGACCATCGAAACATTTTTTTCTTTCTTCTTTGCACCAAGTGTCGATGGCCAAATCCGTTCGAACGGCTGCTCCTTATTTCAGTCTCGATCGGTCCGTCAAATCGAAAGGATTTATTTTCCTGCCTATTTCTCTTTAATCCTTTGTTAATCACCGTGTTTTCTGTCGGGATTCTAATAGTTTCATTCCTAGTCATTTACTCATTTTAATAATCATAAACGTGGTAGGATATCGATAAACGAGGTGTGGAACGAGTTCGATATTATAATAGAATAAAAAAATCAAGGTCTGGTTTGAGGAAGGGAAAAATTGTTGTTAGTGAGAGAAGATAAGTTTCATCATGATCATCGATCCATGCCCGATTCTCAATTACGTGTTCCAACACTCCTCCAGGATGCTCTTGGTGAGACAATAAATTTAGATCGCATAATAAATATTTCTCCCCGTTGCACCATAATAAGAAAAGCTGATGTAAAATTAGCCGTGTTTACAAAACGCATAAAACGCGTGTTTTTATTGCGTAAACCTTCCTGAACAGTTAACGTTATTTGTGTGTTCACATCTACTGTAACAAGAATAGAATTCAGATTTGAATAAAGTTGTTCCCGATCCTCTAAGTAAGATGTATAAGCAAGAAACTGCATGCCATTGAAACATGTTTTCTCTGTAGAACACACGACGTTATAAATCATTTATTTCTTGCATCGGTGATTTGAATTGCAGACGTCGGTACCATCGAATTCATGAGAATGATGCAAAAGCGGTGAAATTTTTCAGAAACAGTTCACTTCTGTTTTTTACATTCTCGCCCGATATCTCGAAGTAAAATCAGATATATGAATAGTTTATTTAAAATTGTTATATATTTATTGATTTATATGTATTTTTGGAATTCATGAGAACGCACGTCACTTCCAGTTTGTTTTTTTTTTGCATCTCGATTGCTGCCGTGACCTCGGTTATCGTATATCGTGGCGACGACGTAGGAGCTCGATATAAAAAGCTCATTATATCACCGATTAATTGCAGCAATTATTCAATTAGTATAGACATTTTCCATTCACAATTTTTTTTACTGTTCCACAAACATTCCGGCGAATAAATACTGTTTCTTCCTTTTTCTTCCTCGAGATCACGGGCGACGATTTTTTTCCAACAGCGTATCGATAGAGAGACTAGTGTCACAGATCAAGGAAGTTTTTCTGATAATTTTCTATACTGCATTCAAAGCGCTTGTTTATCTCCGACCTTTATCTCTTTTGCATATCAGCGCAGTATACAGAGTCGATAAGCTTCGTTAAATTGTCTCTCCGTCATTATTTCATTCTTGACGAGTAACCGAAACATTAGACAAATGGATAGATGATAAATAAATTATGTAGGTCAATAATAATAATAATTTTTTGTTATACATCGTACGGGAAACTAATCTTTCTAACATTTAAAAAATAATTAATTCATGAAACCTGATGTTAAAAATAATATTCAATTTTTAAATTTGTACGAATATTAATAGATTTTGTATTGCCGTTTAACAATTCGAATTTCGTTGATTGAGGCAATCGGTCACGTATTCCCACAAACGGTTTGATTCATGCACGTTTTTCTCGAGGCTGACTCCTTGCTCGATGACAAGGAGCGCGTTTAATTGCCACGACCTCGCCTCAATTGATGCGTATCTCGAAATAAACAGGGTGAACCGCACCTTATTTGGTACTTTCGGGTGGAAGGAACTTAATAACCGCAAATATGCACAAAATTATAATCAAAAATATATTCAGTATTTCAAGAGGATGTTGTCACTTAAGAATTACACAATTTCCGAAAGGAAAATCCCCATGGACTGCCACCTCTTCAAGTAGCTTGAATCCCCTTTAAAAATGAATTATGCAAATCTCATAATATTAATGGATGAGATGCAAAGTCCTCGATGGATCAGCAGGGTATTTGGTCTATAATCCCACGAGGGACGGTCGCCCGCTAAATTACTAAATTGTTATCGTTCAAAGCAGGTGCGCAAATGTGATCCAACGCGATCGCATTTGAGATGAATCGAACAACAATACAGAATAAAATCTGATTACAAAATGTAATCGTATTTATAATTCAATTTATGGGTGAGGATTGTTTCAAAAATTCTCTCTCGCCTGATTTCATCCGCTCGAATCTTCGACGGTTCAACAGATATGTGCGTCTTACGCTTAAGACGCTTCGCCTATTTTCATCCGTTGCATCGAACGATGAATGTTAATAAAACGGTTGTGCAATCTCGTCGTCGGATCTTCTGAAAATAAAGGTCAAGGCGTCGGTGTCTGGTTCAATTAGCAAACAGCGTTAAATACGCGAGATGCGTTAAAAGATAGTCGGACCCTCCTTACTTTTCCGTGTGCGAACTCGTGCGACTCCTAACTGCCGGGGAACATGAAACCACCGGGAAACAACAATTACAACATACTATTACACACTTGTGAATGCGTAGAAATGTGTGTACCACTTAGCTGTGTTAGAACTTAGACATTAGGCTTAGAAACTGATGATGGTACCACCCTCTCTATAGTTGTGACCCACCCTACGGTCGTCTTTATTCTCTTCTGTGTATTATACTTTCGAATCGCTGAATACATCTCGTTAAGCGGAGTTAATCCCAGGGTGCATCACACCTGGCGAGCAACGAGGTCCTCGCTCCTCTGTGACCTCATACGTTTCGTAAGAGCAACGATGCACCTGCGGACAGATGCTAATACGCCACGTTCTTTGCTCAAGATCTTAAATCACCATAATGAATATTAAACAGTGCTGTAATGTTTTAATTGTATAAACTGCAGATTCAAAATTACGTGAGGTCACGTACAATTCAATGAGAAATAATTAGACTGCAGATTTTATGATAAAATTGTAGAAACTATAAATACTGCTAATGTACAAAAATGTCAAAGATATCCAAATGGTAATAGTAAAGTAATAAAAGAAACTGTTTTTTTAAATACATTCTTTAAATTGGTACTACAAATATTTTACTTTGAATAATAATAAATTCCACGCTAATAAAAGATGTATTCAGCGATTGGTATCCTCCTCTATTAGATGTCCCACTCAGTTTATTCTCTTAATCTTGTTTCAAACCTTCAGGATCAGATTGTTAACGTTTGAATCGATCGTTCACAGCAATTGTCTATGAGCGAGGAGCTCAGGCGAGCTCTATACAATGATGTCTCCATAGACAACGAAGTGATCGTTCCCGATCTGGTGGGCAACACCGAGATTCTCAGCGACGACCACAGGGAACAACTCTGCCGGCATCTGCCTGCCAGGGCGGAGGGCTACCCCTGGACCCTCGTCTTCAGCACTAGCCAACACGGCTTCAGTCTGAACAGCATGTACAGGAAGATGGCCAAAATCGAGAGTCCGATACTCCTCGTCATCGAGGACACTGAAGGCAATGTGAGTCCTTTTTCAATTTTATTCCTTGCTCGATTTGACTTTTAAATTATTGTTAAAAAATAGACGCAGTTTTTAATTAATTTCATTAATCCATTATGTAATTACACCCATCCCTCAATTTATACGAAGTATCTGTTCTACGTAGATTCGTTATACAATCCTCTTTCAGTCGAGCCTAATTATTAGACAAACCGGGATGATGAACATCGTTAATCATTCTCTCCCTCGTGGCACACGTTACAGGTGTTCGGTGCATTGACCTCGTGCGCACTGCAAGTGAGCGATCACTTCTACGGAACCGGGGAGTCTCTGCTCTTCAAGTTCAATCCTAAGTTCCAGGCGTTCCACTGGACCGGGGACAACCTTTATTTCATCAAAGGCAACAACGAGAGCCTCGCCATCGGCGCTGGAGAGTAAGTAGCTTCCTCAAATCTTTATCACTTTGAAAATTCGTCTTGGAGGATTTTAAGACCTTGATATATTTAGTTTAATACGCCTTTTGTGATCGGTACTTGTTTCAAAATTAAATTTCTAGTGGCATAAAATGTGGTCATTGTACATACAAGGGACTTAATGAATAATTAAATGATTAAGCGAACGAATTATATTTATGCTAATAGGAGATTAAGTTGTTATGAAACTATGGTTTAAGATATTGCGTATAAAATGATTTCTTGTTATTCAAGGTGAATCTCTTCGTTGAATATTAAGTAATTATTATTGCTTCATTAACAAACATAAGTCCTTTACAATGTACAAGGGAAAATAAAACAAATAACAAAAACTAAAAAATACTCTGTAAAGATAACGAAAGTAGCTGATTCAACTTGAACTAAAAATGAACGTAAAGTTAGATTTAAACAAAATGATTCGCTTTTTTAGTGGAAAATTCGGACTGTGGCTGGACGGAGATCTCTACCAGGGCAGGTCGCAGTCGTGCAGCACGTACGGTAACGAGCCGTTGGCGCCCCGAGAAGACTTCGTGGTAAAAACGTTGGAGTGCTGGGCGTTCATATAGGACACAGCCTCGTACAGCTTGTCCGCGACCTCGCCCTCGCCACAGCCTAATTTGACCTGAATCAAAATCCCGGAAGAGTCTCGCGCGGAGGTTGATCATCCCTAGAGAGGAGGAAGCGTCCATTTCGGAGCACAGGTTTCGAAGACAATTGCGAGAATATTTCCAAGGGAGACATTCTATCAGAGGAGATTATAAATGAAAACCTGATCGAAACAGGATTTACGATTAACAGTTTAGCTCGAATCATCGTATTCGATAGACCCTTAGAGAGAGAAACAGACAGACAAACAAACAAGACAGATCCCTACTCGTATTTTTTTGCTAGAACGGGAGATCGTCGGGCGCGTGTATTCCTGGCTAAAGTATGGAAGCAAGGAGAGATAAGATTATGTAATTAATTGTGATTTGTATCGCGATAAAAATTCTTGAACGCTAAGAGAGACGATGAGATTAGAATCTAAAGACAGGAACACTGATAAGAGACAGTTGTCCAGCACGTTAGACCCGTGCGTTGAAACGTCGAATGAAGGACTACGAATGACTATAACCGATGAATAGATACGTCATTTAATCGTCCTAGGTTCGTTTTCTTTTTTTTTAAGTTGTCGTATTTATTTTATTTTTTTATATATATATATATTATACATGCACACGCATATGTGTGTTTCGCTGAATGAAACGTTACTTTTTTTCCCCGTTAATCATGATTATTTCACGCGATCGCGTGCCGTTCGAGGAAAGGATCGAAGGATCGACCACGATAATGATTATCTTTTCTTTTTTTTGTTACGATTACATATTAAGATCGTGGTGTTGCCTTCGAACTAGTCGCGAGTTTAAGTAATAATGTTAAGGATTAACAGTCGCATCGTGTCGAGAGATTACCACGCCGACCGCATCGGCGCGTATTATACGATGATCGATGATGAAAACGGGTAAACGAAGAGAGAATGAGACGAGAGTGAATGGTGAATCGAGATTGAAAGCGTAATATTTTTAAGAGAGACTGCGTCGTCCGCGATCAGAAAAAACGGCGACGCGAGGAGAGGATCATACAAACGAAACCGTGAATCGATTGATGATCATGCTGATTTGGTATGATACCACGGACACAAAAAAAAAAACACGACACTACGTGAAATGCTAACAAGAAAAACAACTAACCGTATTTGTTGATGTGTAGTTATTGTAGATAGATAAATGTACATATATATATTACGAAAAATCGTGTTTACGATATAAAGATTAATTTTAAAGAAAGATATACAGTATATGATAGCACGCTAAATGAGAAGACACACGTTGCAGAAGACATTTTTCTGTGTAGCTCGTAATGTTCCGAAGGACACACACTGATGGTTGCGTATATTTGTGAAACACACACGCATTTCCATACACGTAATCAATCGAGCGGTGAAGAACACCGGCTCGGATCGATCCCAGCCGATCGGTGACAGTAGACTTTAGGAGTAGATCAACAGTTTTGAAAAACAGCGACACGAAGATCACATACGGAGATCGATTATGGTTGACACGAAGAACGACGAAAGCAATAGTATAGGAGAAAACACGCAAACACACAGAATTAATTAAAACGCAACGTTTCTTGTGTTTCAACTGACCACAACGAACACACACGCCTGTGCCTCGCTTCGCTCTCTTTCTCTCCCTTTGCTATACGCTATATTTACGTAGAGAGCACACATGATTCACGTACAGCATTTTGAGTTACTCGCTTTGCGTACGATCAGAGCCGATGGAAGAATAACGTTTCGTTGAGGAGCTCTCTTTTCTTGATTGAGAGCTTAAAGACTTAGACAATAACAAGAAATTTCTTTTATTTCTGTTTCGCACCGTATCGAGCTTCCTGCGAAATAAAGGATTCGGATTTCTCGATTGGTTTTAAACCCTCCGCATTTCGTGGAACTAGAAAGCTCGGGTTTAAATCCTACTTTAATCCAAATCTGTTTATAGAACAAATGATTGTTTCTGGCAGGAAACGAAAGAATTTTTGCAAGATCGTTGAACTTCTTTTTACGTCGCTTCGCTCGGCTCTGAAGAATCAGTACACACACACACACACACACACACGTGCAGAAGGTAATTACTATCTGAGCTTATATAGTCTCTTACTATGTGAATTATTAGGATGAATATCGCGAGATCAACCATCGCGAGGGAAAATAATCTACCGTTTCTATCGCTTTTTAAATACGAACATCTGTTCCGTCGTCGATAACGACTGAGAAGAGAACGAGCGATGTTTAACGATTTTGTTAAACCGAAGGACGGATTGCACATCCGGCTAGACTCTTGATAATCAATTTTGATAAATTGATATATCCGAAACCGAGTTCCGAAAGGACGTTTTAATAAAAGTGAACACCATTTTGTACTGTGGACAAACCGGTTTCTCTACACTTTCAAATAGAAACAGTTCCCAGCACTCGATTCGTTTCTACGATTTCCTGTCTTGCAGCCGGCTATTTATAAACCGAGACACTGAACGATCTACGATGATTTATTAATGTTTGTATGCATACTTTATCAATCTCATTGTATTTTATATATAAATGGAAACATCTGTTGACAATTTATTATGCCGAATGGAAAATGAAAGAAATCGTAGATTCGGACGAGTCTCTCCGTGTGCACTGGTTACGAAACGCACTTCTATCGAAGAATGAAACCAGCAAAACGTCGATAAAAATTGAACGAACCTGATGGAGCACGGTTTCGAGCAGAGAACACGTAGTAACTACGGGAAGCACAAAAAAAAAGACGTAGTTGTCTGTCAGCTTCGTTAGGGTAGTTAGTTCGTTAGAGAGTACGTTTGTACGCGAACATTAGGGCGTTGCCTAGGTGCATAAAGGAAAACCACATTAGGGTTTTATAGGCGTACTCTTGTGATATTAACGAGTTAAAAGAAGAAAAAACAAAGGGGTAGCGAAAGTGAAGAAAAAGGTCGCTTTGTGCGTGTCACTCGGGAACGCTGTATTTTTTTCTTTCGTGGCAGAGAGAGAGATGATCGTTTCGATGGGAAAGCGATGGGACTCTGATTAAATAATGTATATTGTTATTATTATTATTACTATTATTATTATTATATAAAGATATCAGCCAGGACAATACAAAGAACTATTTAGAACGCGGGAGAGCAAACGAAGATGAAACGAAGGGAATAGAAAAGCGAAGCGTGGTTCAAACATATTTTGGCAGAAACCTTTTTTTCTTTTCCTTTCCGTTTGACGAAAGAACTCACGACCCTCGCCAATGNTCATTGTATTTTATATATAAATGGAAACATCTGTTGACAATTTATTATGCCGAATGGAAAATGAAAGAAATCGTAGATTCGGACGAGTCTCTCCGTGTGCACTGGTTACGAAACGCACTTCTATCGAAGAATGAAACCAGCAAAACGTCGATAAAAATTGAACGAACCTGATGGAGCACGGTTTCGAGCAGAGAACACGTAGTAACTACGGGAAGCACAAAAAAAAAGACGTAGTTGTCTGTCAGCTTCGTTAGGGTAGTTAGTTCGTTAGAGAGTACGTTTGTACGCGAACATTAGGGCGTTGCCTAGGTGCATAAAGGAAAACCACATTAGGGTTTTATAGGCGTACTCTTGTGATATTAACGAGTTAAAAGAAGAAAAAACAAAGGGGTAGCGAAAGTGAAGAAAAAGGTCGCTTTGTGCGTGTCACTCGGGAACGCTGTATTTTTTTCTTTCGTGGCAGAGAGAGAGATGATCGTTTCGATGGGAAAGCGATGGGACTCTGATTAAATAATGTATATTGTTATTATTATTATTACTATTATTATTATTATATAAAGATATCAGCCAGGACAATACAAAGAACTATTTAGAACGCGGGAGAGCAAACGAAGATGAAACGAAGGGAATAGAAAAGCGAAGCGTGGTTCAAACATATTTTGGCAGAAACCTTTTTTTCTTTTCCTTTCCGTTTGACGAAAGAACTCACGACCCTCGCCAATGATGCCGAAGTTCATGGTATGTAACATTGTAACGCGAAATAAAAAAACAAGATGTGTCTGAGAAAAAGATATTATTTTTATTTTCGTTCATTTTGTTCCTTCTACTTATTTTATCGATCTGGTATCCTTTGCAAAAACGTGTGAAGCTTTCTTTATACTTTCGGTTGTGTATTTCGTTTTCATGAATTTATCGTATAGAACGTAATCAACGAATCGCTTCTAACTCCTTTTGAAGATGACTCAATAAGTATTTTCTGATAAGAAACCTCAGAGGGTCACCTGATTAATTGATATATATTTGATTGAAATTGACCAGGTGGTTCTCTCGTTAAAAGGCGACCAAGACAGAACCATATTTGCCATTATTTTTCTTAATTCGTATAATTAGAACGATTAATCAATAACTTTCTTAATATGAGATTTTAAAACAAGATTGATCGAGCCCACGTTTGTTACTGATGAGTGAATAGCGAACTGCCTGGAAGAAAGGATTTTCTTCTGCCGAGACGAAATCACCGAACTGTAGAAAAACACACACGTCTGCACACTGTAGTAGGAGTCGCCGTCTAATCTACAATACATATACATATACGCTAACTGCCTCTATCGAGAAAAAAAATGAGAAAAAAAAATACTGTAGATTAAGCGTGTCAGATAAGCGAAATCGAAGGATCCTAATCTTTGAACAACGTACTCTTTCCTTGATCGCCACGATTGTCATACATTTGTACGCTAAATATTGCCGATTCTTCAACCAAAAATATTCTTACAGCGACTTAATTAGACGAGATTAGTACTAATTCTTGTTCAGAACAAGTATCGATTTGCTTAAAAATGAGCCTTTTACCATTCACTGTCAGACTTCCTCTTCACCCGTTTTATTACATTAAAAGAAGACACTTTTCCAATATTAGGAACGAAGCTAAAGTTCCGATCGCCTTTGATTATTTAATAGAATAAAAATCGTGAAGTCAATGAACGTCGGCAGTTCGAATGGTTGAAAGCCCTGTCCACCGGAGAATCGGCTGTTCCTCAGTAGTCGGAGAACATAAATCAGGATTAACAATTGTACTCACGTTGGACAAAGTCCAAACTGACTACCGAGTATACCTGACTCTCCTTTTGCACGATGAAACCATACCGAATAAAAAATTACGTAAAAAAAAAAATGCAAATACTAATTAGCAGACCTCTGAATAAATTGTATCAATGAAAATCACGTAACTTAAAACGATATAAAAAGAAATACCGTGTAAAGGGAAGGTCATGTGTAGTCCATCGTTTTAGACCTATAGAGGAGAACAATTGTTTAACAAACGCTCCAAGCTTTCTGCGTTCGTGTATTAGCGGAAGTAGAAAGAGAACGAGCAAATGGTGGGCAGATCTGCTACAACCAGAATAAAAAAAGCTCACACGATGAAAAAGAGAAATCGTAATAATCGCCAAGTATCAGCCACGTATGTATAATCGTAGTTAATTAGTGAACGTTCAACGTGTTAAACCTACGAGAAGAAACGAAAACAAAATCGTACGAAGTTAGACGACGGTAAAAGCGTTGATAGGGCGGGCAAGTTTTGCTAGTGAAACGAGTTTTTGGTATACACATTGTCAATTAGATTCAGACTGATCGCAGGGATTGAACGCGCATTAAAACAAGAAGATAAAAACGTAAACGAAAAATTGTTATTAATAGGCAACAAAAATTCGATGTTGTTCGATGTTTAGCTAGACATTGTTGTCATCGTTGTTGAGTAATCATGCGCCTTCGTGTTGGCGTAGCGTGAAGAAGATATTAGAGGACGAGGCTTCGATTGCCAGAGAGGAACTTGTATAATATTCCTTCGCTAATCTAATCTCCCTGACAACTGCGTTAACAATACGACTCGTAATAAGAATCTTCTGATTGTTAGAAGGTAACGAAGCTTCACGCTATGCCCCAGTTTTACACGTAGAACAGCAAACAGAAACAAAAACTCGTAGAGTTGTAAAACAGTCGTTGTCTTGCACACCAAAAACAATTCCTCCTTAATTATAATTCTACATATTACAGTGTACAATCTTTTATATATTTTTGCAGAGATATATTTCAAGGGACAATTCTTATCCCACTCGTTCAATTCATATAAATTAAAAATTGCAATTTATTATTATTTTATATGTTGGCAATCCGTGATGATAATTTGCAGAGGACATAAGTGCAAGAAGCGACAGAGGGAAGAGGAGAACGCACGACGTACATGTATGTACGTGTAACATAAATTTGCCCCGTGCAAACTGCGCAAACGATATTCTAAAAGCATTTTTACACTATCGCGTATCGTCGAAGGGCGGTTCATCCTTTTTCCAACGATCAGTCAAACTTCATACTAGTTTCCGTTAACAGATCACCCTTATCTATCGGACGACACTTCTCTGACCATACGAAGATAGCTGAACCCACGTCATTTAACTTCGAGAGGCCCGAAGGAGATTTTCAATCGAGTTCGGTTGTACGAAGTATCGATAAAAAAAGAATCATCACAGCTCATCTGTGCCTGGTTGACAATTTCTCGGATGCGAAAGGAAAAAACGAAACATATCCTTCTGATAAATGAAAAAAATCTATCAAATTTCGAAAAGTCGAAACACGAAAGGCGGAATCAAAAAAAAAAAAAAGGAAGGGTCCGTGCGACACGGGAGACGGAGGCCCTCTCTAGACACACACAACTCTCTGGACCAATGAATTTTACACTAACTTACTTAATGCACTATCGCCTAAATCGCCACTTTGTTCGCGAGACTAAGTCCCCACCGCGTTTCGATCCCCGGGTATACCCTGTTAGTCACAACACGAACACATGTATGTAACTGCAATGGATCATCGACCTGTAGAGGTCTTCACGAGCAAACAAATTAATACCCATCACAGAACAATGAACACGCTACGTGTCTATCGTAATCGTATATTAGCCAACTGTATACCGTGTACGATGAAAATGATCAATGAAAGAGAACAAGAAATCGCGATACGACGACGGAGAGAGAACGTCGATTGTTCGAGCATAAATAATATCGCACAGAGGAGAGAATAATTTACACCGTTCAGGCGGTCAGGCAATAAGTATTTGTTCCGGCGGAAATGATTTTCCAATTTTATTGTACAACTGTTTTATATGTAAAGTGTATGTATATTTAGCCGAGGAAATATTTTTTCAATCACTATTTTCGAATGGTATCATTCGAAGCACGTTAATCGATATTAGTTTATAGAGGGTGATTTATAAATGATGGACAAAGCTTTAGGAATAGATTTTTAATGCCACAGCCTACTTTAATACCTATATAGTCGTGTTGAAAATAAAATGGCAATACCGCGAGAGTCCGCTGTGCAGTGCAATCACAGCCGACTCTCCGTACCGACCACAGTCGGCCATTCTTGCCATTTTATTCTCAGCTAAATAGGTATTAAAGGCTGTGCTAATGCTTATAGAAGACAGAAAAGTTAAAGTAACATGGGTGAACATTGATATAACTTTTGTTTCTTCTCTAAGCATTAGGAACCTATTCCTAAAGTTCTGCCTGCCATTTACGAAATACCCTGTAGACACGTGGTAAAACTCGCATTTTATCACTATTACAGATTCAGTATAATCAGAGTGAACTTTCATTTTAGGTTTATCTCAAAATTTAAAGTTAACACTTGTAAATGTTTATTTACTTGTTACTACGTAGATACGTTTCGTGGAAATTACAAACACGTTTCTTTCATCTCGAAGAGGAATTCCCATGTAAAAAGTGAGACGAAGAGTTGGGGAGCGCGCTTGTGTATGCATGTATGTATATAACTTATACATATACGGTACACATAGGAGGAATCGTTTGTTCGTTTGTTGCGTGTAATATATAAAAAACAATACACACGCGTGTACATTGCGTATACATATTGTAACACGTAAAGTTAAAAGTAGCGTCGCAACGTGCATACACAGCAAGAATAACAAAAAAATTGTAGCGCGAACGAGGCCACTATACATATATACATAAATATACATACATATAAATAACTATAAATAATGAATATACATACGAGTAACGATTAATTGTAACATTGTAAAGCTGTGAGTAAGCAAACAGGAGTACGCAAGAGGAAAAAAAGAGTTACGACTGTGTATGCGTAATTGACGGCACCAGAGTTACTAAAAAACGATATAGGATATATGCCTGGAAGAGAGAGGATTTATTTTTTTGCGCCACGAGATAAATTTCGCCCCCTCCGGTGTTTGCAGGTGTACGACGGGTTTAAGATGAGAATAGGTACAATTAAGAAAAACAGAGAGAGAGTATTTTGCGAATTGAACGCGGAGCGATGCAAGATGTACTCTGTTGCATGTTTCATGCGTTATGTATGTAATATCGACGTCAAAAAAAAAACAGAAAAAAAAATATATATATGAAAAATAGTCAATCTTGTTCCGTTCGCGAAGACGAAGCTGCGAATCACCTTTGGATGCATGCGCGCGCGCGCGTGCACGCTTCAAGAATTGTGATACGCGTGAGTGTGAGTGCCGCGCGCACGCATAATGTGTATACAAAGATGAATATACAAGAGATATTCAATAAAACGCCAATATTGTGAAGAAAAGGCTTAACGTGTCTTTTTCTCACCGATGTATCTTCCTTCTTTCAAGCATTCCTGTTTTTGTTTTTATACTGTTTGATTATTGAAACCTTTGTCGATAGTAGTGATGGGCACTATCGACTAATTTAAGGATGTATTGGCTATACAGTCAATCCTAAAAGTTTATACACTTTAGAAACGCATTTTTTAAAAAGAAATCAGA